TCCAGATCAGAATAAGCAGTAGTGAATGATTCTAATTGTTGAGAGTCAAGATCCAAGACAAGCGTGGGTTCATCAAACTGAATCCAGGAAGCACCAGCAGCCTTAAGCTCAGATACAACTTCCCTGTAGAGATATTGAATGTCATAATAGCAAATTAAAGCAATTATATTGTAAAAACAACTAGAAGAGAAAAGGAGAACCAATTCTTACTTGTAGACAGGGAGATTTTTGGGAGGAGAGAGAGAAGAAAAAGGTCTTCTCAACACCCTTTGAGGGTTTAGACAGCAACAAGTATGAGACAGGACCAATAAGGACAGGGACGGTGTTGACTCCGAGCTGCAAGTTAGACAGAAAATCAGATTCCAGGTTTCACAATAAGACAAAACATCAAATAATAAGTATGAAAACAGGATACAAGCGGCGCACAAAAATCAAGTTGGTCTAATTAGTATTCCAAGACCCACTCAGGGAATTTTCAATAAATGGATTGTATAAAATTAGAATACTAGAGAGCTACAAACTATTATACAAATCTGACACCAGAACAACAAACATGAAACCATTCCCAGAACCCTGACCCAGCTAACCATATGTTCTAAGCCATTGCATAAAGTATGCTAAAAGATGTTTACTAATTGTCTAAATCCTTGAAGCTATCCCAAATTCAGACCATCATACATTTTCATGCAAGTATTTATAAATCCTCCTATTTCCATCACAACACACACAAACTAGATCCAAAAACATACCGCCTTGGCTTCCTTGAATTCATCCACAGCCTTGTGAGATGCATAAGAAAATTTAACATCAGATCCAAGTTCAGGAACAATGAAGTGACTGAAACAATACATTGCACATAACACAACACAATAAAAGCATTAGTGTCAGAAAACTCGGCAAGAACAACAACACTAACAAAGTACCACCGAGAATGACAACTTACTAGTTGGTGTCGAACCACTTGGTCATTTCCATGGCAGGTACAGAGGCATTTCCTCTGGCCATGGAGAAGTAAGTGTCAAATCCAATCTCACCACCATTCCAGCCATATCTAGGTGGAACAGCTCCAAGCATTGATGTGGTATCAAGCATCTGATCATAGTATGAGAAAGTGTTGCTGGGGATGTACTTGATCCCAACAGCAGACATCTGTTTCCAGATGGATGACCTGAGATCAGCTGCAACTTTTTTCAAATCATCAACACTGCTCTTCTTATCCCAGAAAGATTCCAAAGCAAATTTAAGCTCTCTCTTGGGTCCCATGCGGGGATATCCAACAATGTGGGAAGCCATTTTCTAAACCAAATAAAAGAACAGACAAAGATCAGCTTTATGATATAAAATCATACATAAAAAGATTACAACTTTAATGACCTATACGCCTAACTGGAAATTATTAGAATCAAAGCTAAGACCCATGATACATATGCAAATATTTTGGACTGAGATCAAAAGTTCATATGAAAATATTTTGGAAGTTTTGAGCTAAAAGAAACCAAATATTTGTCTAGCATAATTATGCCCAGAAGATGTGCATATGAATGCAAAACCTTGGCAAGACCAAACTCAACATAGTCCTAAGTTTGATTAACTGGAAAATGATCTTACACCCGTGCCTGAAAGATAACACTACGCCGGAAACCAAAAGCAGACTGCTCACTTCACTTTAATCTATTAGATTAACAAGAAACCAATGATAAAACACTAAACTATAATTTTTAAAACCTCAGAAGATTGGATTATTAGATTGATTTCATAAAGACAATAAAAAAGATCAGACAAAAACTTGATCAAATGATAATGCTAATGCTAACACTAACAAATATATCACACTCAGAAAATAAAGATTCTTCAATGATTCCAAAAACCCAAAATTAAAAATAAAATACTAGTAATAAATACAGAGAAAGAAAATCAAATTTAAAAAAGGTTGGATAAAGAATCAACAGAGGTGATCAATGCTTACACTTTCTACTACACTTTAGTAACAAAAACCCAGAGAAAATCAACTGATATAGTCGAAATACTAACGCTTACAAAAAGATCTCAATGAAAAAAAGTACTTTTTGTAATGTAATTGAATAATCCACGTAAAACAATTAGAAGTCCGAATCATATTGATGAAAACCCAGTAAGAAAATCATCAGGAAAAAGTAGAAATGCTGACACTTACCAGTAAATCTTAATAAGAAAATAGATTAAAAAATAAACTTTAGATAAAAGACAGTTTTAAGAACTTTGAGAGAATTTTAAATCATTTTAAATAAGACACAGACAGGAAACATGAATAGGAGCGTTGGAAAAGGAATGAAAGAAGAGTTTGAATTAAGGGAAACAGTACTAATGAGTGAAGGGGAGAAATGAGAGGACGAGGCGAACGGAACCGTACCGTAGTGAACGGAGGAGGAACCGGAGAGAGGAACTAAATTAGAGATAAAGAGGGAGGGAAAGGCAGCGAGGAAGAAGCGGCACGGTTTTAGTAGGTGGACTCGCTTATGCCAATTTATTCCCACAGATGGTGGCTACTGCCTTTCATCAATTGACTGAGTAACCAGATATCAAATCTTATTTCTTTGGGCATATTCACAAATTTATCCCAATGTTTTCGTTTTCGTTTTCGTTTTCGTTTTTCAATTTAACCATCATCTTTTAACTAAATTTAACGTTTAAGGTATTGATACCTGTACTTAAATTATCAAAACGTTAGGCTTGTTATCGATACCTTGAGACTAAGATTTTATTTTCAAAATATTAAATCTAAGAGCGAGGACGATAGTTAAATTATTCACATTTATTTCCCATATTCTCTTTGGTTATAGTTTTTTTAACATATTAGAAGTATTCTTCTTTCTCTTCTTATATTTTTCATTCTCATTCTTTTTAGATAGAATTAAAATTAAATTTAAAATTTTAAAAAATATCAAATCTAATTTTACTAATTTTTTTTTAATGAAAAGAGGTAAAAGCCTTATCTGGTTATATTAAACGGGTATCAGGGGACCCAAGGAATCTCTAGCAACTAAGGATGCGTTTGGTTCAAAGAATGTAAGATTATCAGTGGGAATAAAAGATTACCAAAGAATAGGATTACTAATAATATTGTATTTTGTGTTTGGTTGGTTTAGCAAGAATGTAAGATTACTGTGTTTAGTTAAAAGAATAAAAGATTATTGGAATGTATATTTGACTAAATTGTCTTTATTATATATTTATATTTTTTTAACAAGTTGAAAAATATTTATATATTTTCTTTAAAAAATTTAAATTCATAAAATTTATATAATTTTTTTTACAAAATTGAAAATATAAAAAGGTTTAATGAAAGGGTAAAATTATATTTTAACCCCTGAACTTCATATAAAATTTTAATTATAGATTTTTTTTTTGTAAATCTAAAATAGTTTAAGAATAAATTTGTAATTTAACATTCGTAGAACTTTTATTATTCAATGACAGAATAATGATATTTTTTAAAAAAATTTATTTAAGGGCATTTTAGTTCAAAACGTCGGTAATCCAACAATACTTAAAGAAAGTGAGGTAATGATATTCCCGGTAATATACCCAAAAAATCCACTATTAATAATATAAGATTACCGGGAATGACATTCTCGGCCAACCAAACAGAGTAATGTAGATTTTATTCTCATGAAAATCTCACATTCCCCCAACCAAATACACCCTAAAGGAGAGATAGCATCCGAAGCAGCTGGAAAAGAACGAAGCATGAAGTCTCGAGGAAGGGAGAGCTTAGCCAAACCGTCGGCTACCATATTCCCCTCTCGGGGAACCCAGTGAAATTCTATCTTTCAATTTCGACGTTGGAGGGAGGGAGTCTATAGCGCGAACCAGCGGGAATACATCACTGTCTACTCCTGGGTTGTTGAGATGACGGACCACCTGCAAATTATCATTTTGAACCAGTAGAAAGTGGAGGCCATGCTCCCACGCAACTTGAAGCCCTATGAAGATGCTCCAAAGCTCAGCTTGTGGAGAGGTGATACCAATCGACTTGTGAAAACCGGTTAACCAAGCACCTTCACAGCTCCTTGGAGCACCATCAACCGAAGCAAAGCCACTGTTAACATCACAAGCAGCGTCCGTGTTGAAGCAACACCAATGCGTCGGTAGGGGCTTCCGCATAATCTAATTTTAGTATTGATACTCTTTTAAGATAATAACACAGAAAGTAAGGTATTCATAATAAGCCCAAAATATCAATACTAATATTCTTTCTCACTTTGTCGATTTAATTTTTCCAAAATCTTCTTTAAAACTCACAAAAGTGAACATAAAAAAAATTATAATGGGAGTTTGAGGAATTTTTGTTATTTGAGAAGTTTAGGGTGTTTGTTTGAAAATATGATCGATAAGAAATATTCTTTTTAAAAGATGAACAACATATCTTGAAATTGATCTTAGTCGAGGCGAAGAAAATCAAAGTATCGGAAAGTTAAACCTCTAGATGAATTTTTATTAATTTTGAGTGAGTTCCGTAAAAAATCAATTTGAAGATAATAGATAAGATTGAGATACGAACATTTTGGTATTGATATTGTCGCAAATGACAATCAATGACTAGCGATGATTGACCGATAACGACGAATGAAAGAGATGATGATTGCCTGTAGGGACAAAATGACACAAATTAAAATTTAATATCTAAAACTAAGACATCTTAAAGTTCAATGATAGAATCAATACATAAATAAAAATTAAAAGAGAAAAAAAGTATGTCATTATATGATTAGAGGTTTAACAGTTCAATAATTATATTAAAACCAAAAGTAAAGTCTAACATTAAAACTTAAATTAAAATAAAAAATTGTTATAATGGCGCACGATAAGGTTTCTCTCTGGGCGCACATTAGCAAGGCTAATGAATCCAGAAATCCTTGATCGTGCCTCCGGCGTTCTAATCTCCCTTTCACTGCGTTCTCAGGCTGACTTATTTTCCTCTGTCTTCTTTTGTTTTTCTGTTTGTTTCTCTCCTTCTGTCTATGGATTGGAGAAAACTTTTTGGCTCTTCCGAGGGACACGAACTAGATTATCATCCACCTAGGGTTCATGAAGGGGTTGTTTCTGTTCATCCTCATCCTGAGGTCCTTGATACTGGAATTAAAGAATGGAAGCTCTCGATTGTGGGTCAGTTTCTAGGTGTTGCCCCCAACTTTACTACAATGCAACGCATCGTTGGAAATCTATGGAAGAAGGCTATCGGAGGCAGCAATGTCCAGGTCAGTTTCGCTGGGAATAATCTTTATGTTTTTTCCTTTGAAACTGAATCAAGTAGAGATTGGGTCCTGGAAAATGGACCCTGGCATATTCTTAACAAACCCTTAATCCTTTGAAAATAGGAGCCCAACGTGAAACGACTGCAATTTGACTTATCTCGAATTCCAGTATAGGTTCATTTATTTAATGTTCCTCTAGAACTGTTCTCAAGAACCGGACTGAGTTATATAGCTAGTGCTATAGGAAATCCTCTGTCTATGGACTCGGTCACTGCTGCAAAATCTCGTCTGGAATATGCAAAAGTTTGTATTGAGATAGGGGTTAATCAAGTTATCCCTAAATTTATTGATGTTCAACTTAAAGATGGTAAATCTATTTCAGTTTTGGTTGAAGTTCCTTGGCTACCTTCTAGCTGTAGAAAATGTAGTCTCTTTGGCCATAGTGACAAGAACTGCAATTCCTTAAAAAATCAACCTCCTGTTAAACAGTTAGTTTGGAAAAAAAAGAAAACTCATAACTCTACTCAACAGATTGAACCTATTGTAGGAGGCATAGAGCTTTTGCAAGATCCTGATCCCATTCATCCTTCCCCTGTTGATGATTCTTCTAAAGCTACTGTCAGCACTGTGATTGAGATTAAAACTGTTGAGAATTCTTTAGACAATCATAGTAAACCTGCTACTGAAATTATTATTCCTAATGAAGAAATAGGCCTAGAGCAAACAAAATCTATCGATGATCCTACTGAAGTCATATCTTCTTCTCAACCTCCTAACACTAAGAGAGGTAGGGGTAGACCTATTAAAGCAAAACTTTCTCTTTCTGAATCTCAAAACAGATTTGATGTTTTAAGTGCTATGGATGATTCCTCTATTGCTCTTGAAGGCCAACAGATAAAATTTAGGTCTGCCTCCTTAGGAGTTTCAAATATAGTCAATGAGCTGAAGCAGAAAAAGAAAGATAAGCTTGTTAAAGCTAAAAATGCTAAGGGTGATGGTAGTAGAGGTACTTCTGTTTCTTCCTCTAAATGATCTGTGCTTTTTGGAACATCAGAGGACTTAATTGTCCTCATAAACAAGTTAGTGTAATTAGTAGAGCTAATTTGAATAATGTAGATGTTCTCTGCTTGCTTGAAACTAGAGTTAAATCTAAAAAATCCTTGAAAATCCTCTCTAGTAATTTTGCAAATTGGAATGCCTTAACCAACTATGATTTTGCTATCAATGGACGTATTTGGATCTTATGGAGAAAGGGTCTTGACTTTTCCTTCTGTCATGCATCTAGTCAATGCTTAACTATCAAAGGCCTCCACTCAGGTTCTCCTTTCATAATTACTGTTGTTTATGGCAGTAATGATGGTAGAGAAAGAAGATTACTTTGGCAGCAACTAAGAGACTTAGATAGGTCTTTAGGCCATCATCCTTGGATCATAGGGGGTGACTTCAATATAATTTTGAATTCCAATGAATCTTCTGATTTTGATCTGCTTGGTCATTCCTCTCAGATATGAGAGATTTTCAAGATGTGCTTTCTGATATTGACCTTTTTGATCATCCTTATTTTGGCCCAACCATTTCCTGGAGTAATAAACAACAAAATTCTTTTTTAGCCAGAAAGCTTGATAGGGTTCTTATTAATCAGAACTGGATCAATTCTTTCCATTCTTCCCATGTTGAGTTCCTTGCTCCAGGCATCTCTGACCATTGTATGGCTCTTCTTTGGACTCGCAAAGAGGTGCAAGCTAATCGACCCAAACCCTTTAAGTTCTTCAACTTCTGGGCTTTGCATCCTAACTTTATGGATACTGTCAATCATTCTTGAAATCTTCTTACTAAAGGTAACCCTATGCAGATTCTCTTCTCTAAACTTAAGCGCTTTAAGAATCACCTCAAAGGCCTTAATAATTCCTTCTTCAGTGACCTTTCAATGAGGGTTAAACTTAAAAAAACTGAATTTGAGCATCAACAACTCAAAACCCTCAAGGGTGAGGCTGATTTTGATTTGGAAATCCCTCTTCAAAAAGTGCTTAATTTTCTTGAGGAAACTGAATCTATGTTCTTTAGGCAAAAAACAAAAGTTCAGTGGATCAAAGATGGAGACAAATGTACAAAATTCTTCCACTCAGCTATTGCTAAAAAACACAAAAGAAAAACCATTAGACAGCTGATTGATGACCAAGGGAATAGACTTGAAAATTTTGATGATATATCCTCTGAGGTAATTAAATTCTTCACAAATTTGTTGGGCACTTCAGGCCCTATGGTCAAAAGTGTTGATTCTGACCTTCTCAATAATCTTCTTCAATCTGCTTTGTCTGTTGATCAAGCTGCTAACCTTATTAAGGTTATCTCCAAGGAAGAAATCAAAGATGGATTCTTTACTCAAGGTAATGACAAAGCCCCTGGACCAGATAGTTATTCTCCTCTTTTCTTTAAAAAGTCTTGGCCAATCATTGAAAATGATATTAATGCTGTTGTTCAACAATTTTTTAAAGAATCTTTTCTCCTTCCTGTCTTTAATGCTACTTCTATTGCTTTGATACCTGAGATTCCTAATCCTTGTAAGGTCAAAGATTTCATACCAATTTCTTGTTGCTCTGTGTTCTACAAAGCAATTTCTAAAATCTTGGTCAAAAGACTCACCAGCTTAATTCCTGACCTCACTACCCTTAACCAAACAACTTTTGTTAAGGATAGATCTATTATTGATAATACTCTTTTGGCTCAGGAATTAGTGCGAGGATATAACATAAAGCACATTTCCCCTCGTTGTTCTCTGAAAATCGACCTGCACAAAGCCTTTGAGTCTCTCAACTGGGAATTCATTTCTGTTGTGCTGAAAGCTATTAATCTTCCTTCTCTCTTTATTTCATGGATTGAAACATGCTACTCGACCACTCAATTTTCAATCTCTTTTAATGGAAGCCTTATTGGATATTTCAAATGAGCTAGGGGAGTAAGGCAAGGAGATCATCTATCCCCTTTCCTTTTTGTCCTCTCAATGAATGTTCTGTCAAAACTCCTGAATCTGGCTGCATCAAAAGGCTTGATTAAATATCATCCTAAATGTAAGCGTATTGGTCTCACTCATCTCTCATTCGCTGATGACCTCCTTATCTTTTGTAAAGGCACAGTGGATTCTGTTGTTGGGGTCACTTCTGTCCTTGATGTTTTCTATGGAATGTCTGGGCTCAAATTAAATGCTTCCAAATGCGAATTATTTTCTGCTGGTGTTTCTCTTCCCTCTCTTGAGACTTTGAAATCGCTTACTGATTTTAAACTTGGCAGTCTGCCAATAAGATATCTGGGAATTCCTCTTACTACTAGGAAAATTACTGAATCGGATTGCTCGACTCTTATTGACAGTATTAAAGCTCGATTGCATCAGTGGTCTTGTAACATCCCAAATTACGGGTTAGTGACCAAATCATAAATTTTTAGAATTTGGTGATTAAAGTAAAATAGTTGAATAGTTCAATGATTTATTTGGGGATATTTCTTGAAAGTTTATAGTAATTATCCAAAGAATTAAAGGGCAAAATGGTCATTTGTCATGAAAGATATTTTTTATCCCTTTAATAAGAGATAAAAACGTGTGAAGATGAAAATCTTCTTCCTCCTTTCTTCTTCTCCAACCGTGGAAGACTAGGCAAAGGTGAGTTTCTATTTTTGTTGATTATTTGTTGAATTAAAGGTTGGGTTTTGATCACTAGATGATAATTAAGCTTAAGGAAAGCTTAATTTGTTATAAAACAATAAGATGAAAGGTATAGGAGAGATTAAAGATTTTGAGTTCTTGAATGAAATCTTGGAATAGAATTGATAAGTTGAATTTGACTTGTCATCTATGAGAATAAGAAGTTAGAAGTGTTAGAATTAAGTTTGGATAACATGAAAATTTTGGTATGATTATTGATTTCTATATGGAGAATAGAATTTTGAGGTTTAAGATGAAATAAATGGATATAAATTAGTTTAAGTATGTATATTTGAGTTAAGAATAGAAAAGTGAATGAAACATGAAGAATTTAAGTTGTTATAGTGAATTTTCGGGCATGAACAGTGATTTTCTGGGTTTAAACGAAATTTCCAGATTGTGCAGGGGTATCAATTCCCCCTGGGGGGTATTGATTCCCCAGGAACAGATTCCCCCTGGGGGGGTATCGATTCCCCCTAAATAAAAAATAGAATTCGATTCATTAAACCGGTTTAAGTTATTAACATCAAGCTTAAAGTTTAGGCTTCTGATAGTTGTTTTGAAATGATATATTTATGTAGATATTGAGCCTAAACAAGTTCTGGAATAATCAAAGGATTAGGATCTAATCAAAGCAAGGCTAAGGTGAGTGCAATTTAATTGTACTTATGCGATCGAAAAATATTGGCTTGCGATGAGCCAATGACGGAGTTACTATGGTAAGAAGTGACTCCTAAAATGTTATATGATTTTTATGAGTGCATTTTAGTTTATAAGATATAAGAAATTGGACTTGTGATAAGTCTATTTCCAATAGTTATAGTGTATGGAGTATTGATTATAAGGATGTGAATGACATGAAATGTATACTTGATTATATGAACTGATATGTGCTATATGATATACGTGATGCATGTGAAGCTTATGAGAACAAGAGATGACATGATTTGTATGATATATGAATTTGTGAGTAAAGGCATATGTAAATATAATTTGTATACATTATATGTCATGTGAAAATAAGAGAATAAAGCATGTTATATGATATGAGGTTAGGTGATGAAACATAGATGAAATATATATGATGATATAAGAATAAGACATGAATCAAATGATATATATGTTTATGTGAATCCATGCAAAGTGATACGAGCTATGTGACATATGAATATGAATTCATATGAAAAGTGACATGAAAGTAAACTACGTGATTATATGCACATGTGATATGTGATCATAAGAGCAATGATATGAGTACATGAATATATGAAACATAAGAATAATGTCTATGTTATATGATACGAGAGCTATAGGTATAGTTGGCATGCCAAGAGTAGAGGGTCTACGCGGTCCTTCGGAACAAATTCTACGTGGTCCTTCGGGACGTATATGTATTCTTTGGAGTATGTATGAGGTCTTTTGAGACACTTACTTGATCCTTGGTATATGTATATGATTCTTAAGGAATTTATATGTGGTCCTTATGGAAAATCTTATATGGCACTACGGTGCAATTCTACGTGGCACTTCGGTGCATTTCTACGCGGTCCTTCGGGACAAATTCTACGTGGCACTTCGGTGCAATTTATATGAGCTGTGGTGACAGCATTTGTGCACAACCTCAATGTACTCACATACCTTCAGTTCTCACCAGTGTACCATGGGCTAATAAAGAGACAATAACAAATACAATATATAAGATGCATATGCTTGTGGTGATATGAACGGTATTGCATGGATTATATGATGTTATGTGTTCTAAGATATGTATAGAAATGTTCAACACATGCTTATATGATCACAAGGAATTAGTAACAATAATATGAGTATTGAAAAGCATGTTAATGATATATGTTTTTATATGAAATGATAATATTGGCATATGTATACCTTTTGTTTATATGAAATGATTGATGGTTATAGTTTATGTTTTGTATGCCTCACTAAGTCAACGACTTAGCGTGTGATTGTTTCACGCGTAGGTTCCGAGAAGAGGAAGATTGGTAAAAGTTATGCAAGACAGGTCAGTTTCTCCTTTCCAAAGATCATATCAGAAAATAAATGTATAATATGTATTTTGTAACAATGATAGTGGTTGGCATGTAAATAAAGGTTTAAATCCGATATGTTTTAATCGGTTTTGTAAAATCATATGATTAAGTTTTGTAATGTTTATATGTAAATATAGATGTTATATGAATTTATAAGTATTTTACCGAAAGTACTGTAGCATGTACTGTTCATACGGTACTGTTCATATCGTATTTTACTATTCATAAATACGTTTTTGCCTCAAAACTTTATACCAAACACAATTGAACAATATATGATCGTATTTTTCTTAATATAAGTTCAAATGTTTCGATATTTTACAAGAATAAAGGTTTTAAAAAGGTAATGTGACATCTTGGACTCGTATCCGGGTAGGGTACGGGTTGGGGTGTTACAGGTCTGGTAGGACTTTAAGTTATGCTGGCAAATTGGAACTCGTTCGAGCAGTTTTATTTAGCATCACTAATTATTGGTGTAGGCAAATCTTCATTCCCTTTTCAGTCATCAAAAAGATCGATCAGTTATGTTCTAGATTTTTTTGGAAGGGAATTGATAAACCTGCTGCTGGCGCCATAGTGAGTTGGCAGAACATTTGTAAGCCTAAATCCAAGGGAGGACTTGGCCTGAAAGACTTGAAAACCTGGAACAAAGCTTGCATGATGCTCCTTATTAAGGATATATTGGCTGGGGAAGGTTCTTTGTGGGTGGCTTGGCTTGGTCAGTACATTTTTAATACCAATGATTTCTGGTCTACAACTGTTAAAAATAACATGAGTTGGCCCATAAAACAGATGTTGAAACTTATAAATGAAGCTTCCTCTTTTTTGCTTTCTGGCTCCAGGAAAGCTAATGATTTATGGAATAAGATTAGGGTAAAGAACACTAAGGTGTATTGGCACTCTCTGTTATGGTTTCCGCTCCTCATCCCCAAACACAGTCTAATTACATGGATGGCTTTTCTTGATCGCCTTCCTAATAAAAAAAGGCTCAATCGAATGGGGCTTGTTAATGACCTTCACTGCACTCTTTGTGGAGTAGGATTTGAAACTAGAAACCATTTATTTTTTTAATGTCCGATTGCTACTGCTTTATGGTATGCTATCTTTGAAATCAATGGAATTCGTTTCAGGCACACCTCTTGGGAGACTCTCTATGATTGGGCTATTGCTACTTGGAAGGGCAAATCCCTCCTCACTTCTTTAATGAAAATCTCTTCCAATGCTCTAATTTACACAATCCTGAAAGAAATGAACAAGATAATCTTTCAAGGTCAAGCTTCCACTGATGATGTTATGTTCAAAGCTATCAAGGAAACGGTTGTATTTCATCTAAGGGGAAGACCTATTAATAGATTTGATACTGTTAATATTAATCTTTGTAACCAATGGGGTATAATTTGATTTTGCTTGTTTGCCATTTTTGATTTGGGGCAACCCTTGTACTCCAAACTCTTATTGTTCTTTTGCAGCCGTTCACTGTTCTTTGGGTAATAAAAACTAAATTATCCAAAAAAAAAGTCTAACATTAAAATTGATCCATTTTAAAATTTAGAATAAAAATCAATATAAATTCTAAAATTCAATAAACATTTAAAATGGTTTAGCTTAGAAATAAATAATCAAGCACTTAAAAATATCTACTTCACCAAATCAAGTTTTGTTTATACCAGACACCTAATTAAGTTTAGCTTAACGCAAACCGTATGATGCAACTTTATTAGTTAAACAAATAAACTTAATTTGTTGTTTGGAAGAGGTGGTATTATTTAATTTCACTTTATAAATACGATATTTTAATATATTGAAAACGTGATCCAAAAAGAGAATTGAACAATGGATTCTTGCTTTATAAATTAATTTGAATCACGTGTAGAAATACATTTTTCTATTATATTTTTCTACTACGTCATGAATCAAGTTTCATCCGTGTTAGAATTACGTCATAATATAATTTTGTATTATTTAATTTAAACATTACTATTTTGATAAACTTGAAAACCTGATCCGGGAAGAGTTGAACGATGGCTCCATGTTTTTATAATTAATTTGGATCACGTTTTTCATATGTGAAACTCAAAGCTATTAAGATTGTGAGTTCCGGTACGCCAGGTTTTTAAATCAAATTTTCCAAACCGAAAGCTGTATTTTAAATGTTTCTAAACAAAAATCCAAATGGCACGTGTTCCGGAAACTCACCAAACCAACTTTTGGACATTTATTTATAGTAACTGAGCAGTCCTTCTAATATTAAGAACTGAGCAATTAAGTCCTGTGATTTTCTTGATGTTGAGTCCATGTACATTTTTTTATGGGAGCAAGTTCATAAAATTGAAAGGGTAAATTATTCCATTAGTCACTGAACTTTAATCTGTATATCAATTTTGTAATTGAATTTTAAAATACTTCAATTTTAGTACTAAACTTTAGACATTAATATTTTGTAATTGGATTGTTATTTTTTTGAACAGTTGTCATTGAATTGTTAAATCATTAATAATGTGATGATGTTCTCGTTTTTTTCCTTTTTTTAAAAAAATTTATCACTGTCAATCAATCTTCGTCAATCATCAATCGTTATCTATAGCAATATCGATATTAAAACGTACATGTTTCCTCTCTTTTTTTCTCACCACGAAACACACTCAAAATTATTATAAATTTATATAAGTGTTTGATGTTATAAAAAAATAGTAAAAAGTATATAAGTAAGTTCAACTAAATGAAAGAATAACTACAAATATATATAATATTAAAATTACACTACAGTAAAACGGAAATGAAATATATATATATATATATAATTCTTCAATTATTAGGTTTTTTAAAATAGCATCCCTACGTCTAATATGCTGATAAATTCTAATCAAACCCAAAATCTAAAAATAAATATTTATTAAAAAATTATCATAACCTAAACCTAATATAATATTGAGTTGTTATACAAATTGAATTAAAAAAAATGAAAAGTGTTAGTTGAAATAGGAACTTCTTTGGGCCCAACCAAATAATAATAATAATAATAGTATTAACACACAGTTGACTTTCTCTATCAGACTTGACCACTACCTCTTACTCTGCATGTATAAATATTCTCATTCATTTCCACCATTTCTCCACGCTTCCAAAACCAGAGGGAAGAAAAGGAAAGAAAATTACAATCAAAAGTGATTTTGATTTCCATAGTGGGTGCTTTTCTTCCCTTTGTTTGGTTGCAGAGAAAATATAAACAGAAAGACTTTGTTCCATTTCTTTTAATAAGGAAAAAACATGGACGGTTTAGAAAGAGCTCGAAATCCCAGCAAGAGAATAGGGATTAGCAGCATCGGGAGGAGTCTAAGCAGAAGTAGCTGGATTATGGAAGATTTATTCTCAGGTTCCAAGCAATCAAGACGAAGTGGTGGCGCCGATGAAGATGAAGAAGCTTTAAAATGGGCCGCCATCGAGAGGTTACCCACATATGATCGGCTTAGGACCAGCATCATGCAGTCGTTTGTCGATCATGAAATCGTCGGGAAAAAAGTGGAACATCGAGAAGTTGATGTTACAAAGCTTGACATGAATGACAGACAAAAATTCATGGACATGCTCTTTAAGGTCGCTGAGGAAGACAATGAAAAGTACTTGAAGAAGTTCAGAAACAGAATTGATAGGTAATCTTTGAATCTGCTTCTACCAGTGTAGCCTCAGTAACATAACTAAACACCAATTCTCTTGATTAATTTTTGTTTTGGTTGATCACAGGGTTGGTATCAAGCTAACAACAGTAGAAGTGAGGTTTGAGCACTTGACGATTGAAGCCAATTGCTACATTGGCAGCAGAGCTCTTCCTTCTCTTTCGAACGTTGCTAGAAACATCGCGGAATCGGCTCTCGGCATGCTCGGAATCCAACTTGCAAAGACAACAAATATCATCATTCTTAAAGATGTTTCTGGGATTGTTAAACCATCAAGGTATATAATAATCTGTGTTGCTAAAGCGAAATATATTCGTATCAGACATATACTCTCGAGTGCAGCTGACAGAGACACCTCAAGCTTTTTTGTTTCCAAGGACTAATTGAATTTGTGATTTATAGGATGACACTCTTACTGGGGCCACCATCTTCTGGGAAAACGACCCTTTTGCTGGCACTGGCGGGCAAGTTGGATGAAAGTTTGAGGGTTAAAGGAGAAGCAACATACAATGGATATAGACTTAATGAATTTGTTCCTAAGAAAACATCTGCATATTTCAGTCAAAACGATCTTCATGTTGGAGAAATGACAGTTAAAGAAACCTTATATTTCTCGGCACTATGTCAGGGTGTCGGGACTCGATACGGTAATAGTTATACCAAAAATACACCATTCATTTTTGCTTTGGTTAATATGATTTTAACTGAAACTTTTGAAATGCTTTTTTACTTGAAGATCTTTTGAAAGAGCTTGCTAGAAGGGAAAAAGAAGCAGGAATTTTCCCAGAAGCTGATGTTGACCTATTCATGAAGGTATACATTATAGTATCTTTAATTATTCATTAAATAATATATGATTTTTCTTGTTTGACTTCTGATTTTTGTTTTCTCAGGCAACTTCCATGGAAGGAGTTGAAAGCAGCCTTTTCACTGATTACACCCTCAAAGTAAGATAATTAAAATCATTAATCCGAACCATTAATCACCAATCATTCCATAACCTTTTCATTTTGTGTTGAATTGGTCAGCTTTTGGGGCTTGACATATGCAAGGATACCATTGTTGGAGATGAAATGCATCGAGGAGTTTCTGGTGGACAAAAGAAGAGAGTAACAACAGGTTGATTATTTCTAAATCCCCGCAGTACCTTCTTTTGACATTCATTTTCATATAATAATGTATGAATTTGATTCAATATAGGGGAAATGATTGTTGGTCCGACCAAGACACTTTTCATGGATGAAATATCGACCGGTCTCGATAGTTCCACAACATACCAGATAGTGAAGTGTTTGCAGCAGATTGTGCACTTAACCGAGGCTACGATCTTCATGTCCCTGCTCCAACCGGCTCCGGAGACTTTCGATTTGTTTGATGACATTATCCTCTTGTCCGAAGGTCAAATTGTTTATCAGGGTCCACGTGAGCACATTGTTGAGTTCTTTGAGACTTGTGGTTTCAAATGCCTGGCGCACAATCGCCGGTGAAATGGTTACAGGTTACTTCGAAGAAGGATCAAGAACAATAATAGGCAGATAGAAGCAAGCCATACAGATATATTTCAGTGAGTGAATTTGCAAGTAGGTTCAAGAGCTTCCACGTCGGAATGCAGCTCCATAACGAGCTCTCCGTGCCTTTCGACAAGTCGAGAGGACACATAGCAGCATTGGCTTTCCAAAATTACTCGGTCTCTAGATTGGAACTTCTTAAGGCCTGTTGGGACAAAGAATGGCTGTTGATCAAGAGGAATTCGTTCATTTACATGTTCAAGACTGTTCAAATTATCATCATGGCAGTCATCGCGTCGACAGTGTTTCTTCGGACTGAATTGAACACTAGGAACGAGAAAGATGGTGCAGTCTATGTTGGCGCACTTCTATTTGGAATGGTCATAAACATGTTTAACGGTTTCTCCGAGCTGTCCATGACGATCAATAGGCTTCCAGTGTTCTACAAACAAAGGGATCTTCTATTCCACCCCGCCTGGACTTTCACTTTGCCCAGTTTCTTGCTCAAGGTTCCCATATCGATTCTTGAATCTGTTGTATGGATGGCTGTAACATATTACACTGTCGGATTTGCACCAGAGGCCAGCAGGTAAATTGAATCATGGCAAATTTTTCACAGGTCGTTGTACTAATCCTAGCTGTCATTTTACGTGATCAACAAGGTAACATCCTTCAAACCTATTGCCAGGTTTTTCAAGCAGTTTCTGCTGGTGTTTCTGACACAACAAATGGCAGCCGGACTTTTTAGGCTCATCGCCGGATTATGCAGAACAATGGTCATAGCTAACACTGGAGGAGCTCTCACGCTCCTCCTCGTGTTCTTGTTGGGAGGCTTCATCGTTCCTAAACGTAAGCATAAAACGATAAAAAAGGAAGATTATCACACTGCTCCCTATTTTTAAAGTTAACTAATACGTGGTGTTATATTTCGATAGGTGAAATTCCGAATTGGTGGGAATGGGCTTACTGGGTTTCACCATTGAGTTATGGTTACAATGCCTTCACTGTGAATGAAGTATTTGCGCCAAGGTGGATGAACAAACATGTATGTTATTTAGCTTTCTTGTTCAGTAAGATATCGGTTGTTCTTAGATTATGGAAAAACATTATTTCATTCAAATAAGGGTTAGTTATGAGCCAAAATCTTGTCTACGATGCAGGCTTCGGACAATGTCGCACCATTGGGGGTACAACTGCTTAGGAACTATGATGTTCCAAA